AGTTCCTAATTTTATTATACTTCATAATGTTCCTATAGTTCTTAATGGTAATATACTTCTCATAGTTTCTAATATTCCTGTAGTTCATAATGGCAATACACGTCCTGTAGCTCGTAATGGTAATTTACTTCATAATGTTTCTATTGTTCCTGATATCCCTATAGTTCATAATGGTAATATACTTCATAATGTTCCCATAGTTCGTAATGTTCCTGTAGTTCCTAATGGTAATATACTTCCTATGGTTTCTAATATTCCTACAGGTCTTATCGTTTTTGTCCTTCGTTTATGGAACTAATTTTTCCATAAGTTGTGACCGCAAAATGTCATTTGACATCACTCACGCCACCGTTATTTCTGCTTCTTATAACTGTGTGGTGTGGTATATGTGTACATTCTGTTTTTGAAGAGTGCCAAATATATTTTCCATCTTCTCTGTGTGCTCGTTACTCCGTCTGTGAATAACAAACGTTCATCTCCGGTTCGAATTGATAAAATCCATCAGAATATTGTGTTTTGCATCAGCAGCGTAAAACTTATAACGCAGTGTGAAGTAAAGAGGAGAATTATTAATTCAAAAGTATATAGTCACATTCTGTTGTAATATAAATCTTGGAAGATGTCTTTGAATAATAGCAGTAGCAACAATAGTTCAAATAATAATCCTGGCGATGGTGATCAACCGTACATGTCCGATCTTGATTTGTGGTATTTATCCGTTGGTTCTAATTTATTTCTTTATGGATATCTAGCTATTTATCTCATCGGTTTTACCGGTCACATTTTTCAAATTCTCATATTTATTCGAAAAACAATGCGAACAGTGTCTACTGGTGTCTGTTTTCTACTTTTATCCATTTCCGATATGACTTACCTCATGTTTTCGATTTATCTTTTTGTCAATTATGGTCTAGGAATACCGGATACATCGCCGTATGCGGCTACATGTCGACTACGACATTTTGGCACTCAGGTTACACAAAACTTTTCTGCTTGGCTACTAATGACAAGTAAGTCTAAATAGTTTTTAATTAACTTTTACAAAACTAAATAGATTCGAATAACCGAGTTATTTTCATAAATGCCATTCTTTCGTGAAAAGCCATACCAGAGACTGTCTTCAGTCGACTTCCGAAGGTTCTTGGATCTCATTTCGAAACTTTTGTTAAAAATATTTGCATCCAATATCATTTCAATGGCGTATATAACCACATACAAGCGGAATGACTATGGAACTCCAACAGAAAAAGGTGCGCGCTAGAATTTATGCAAAGCACGAGAAGCGTGTTAGTGAGTCAAGATGCACGGATCTTCCAGAGTAAATTGAAAGAATCAGAAAGAATTGAAAGAAGAAGCTGAATGCGAACTGAATGCGAAAGTAAATTGAATCCTACGCCTCGTAGACGAAGATGTTAACCAATATAAGTACGTGATATTTAACTAGAAGCTTTTCGTAACTATTGTGACCAGACTGTATAATCAATAATCCTGAATGGAGCAATTAATTTTCGTCCTTGATCCCTTATTTTGAGAGCAAGTGCTTTTCCTTCATATGAAATATTTTTCATTATTCATTTAGTATCAGTCGATCGCTTAATCCGCTCATTGTTTGCTATTCGAGCTCAAATCATTTGTACACCAAAAAATGCATGGGTAGCATCTGGTATTTTATTCACTCTTTCAGTATTACTCAACTGCCATTTACTAACACCTATGTTCGGTCAAATATCACCAGGCAACACGTTATACTGTGGCGCTAATTTAAATTATCCATCGTATGTTACTTTCTACAACGAATATTGGGCAACAATCACTGTCATCACCACTACCTTTCTACCGTCTGCAGTCATGATTCTGTCAATTATTGGCATTGCATTAGGCATTCGTTCACGACAACATCGCATTCAGCCAGTTGTCGGTAGTACACGTCAAGAAAAACATCAAGCGAAAAAATTTAGTTTTGTTCAAAAACAAATGTTTATATTGATGGCTGCTAGTGTAGCCATTTTCATATTCACTACTCTGCCCATTTCCCTCTATGAAGCAATTGTGCCAACACTGACAACGTCCAGTTCATTTGGTCTCGTTATTCTTCTAACGGCTGTCTTTGATCTTATCACAAAAATAAATTATTCAACAACCTTTTACTTACATTCACTCACAAGCAAGTTGTTTCGGGAAGAGTTTCTCAAAGTTATTCATTGTTTCACGAGACGTGTGCAACTGAAAACAACCGGTGGTGGAGGACATACGGTCACTGGTTTAATGTCAAAACCTGAAAAGACAAACACACGTGCGAATACATTTGAGTTTCAAAGAAGCCATGCAATCGGCAATTAAATATTCATCCATATTTCTTAAATGGGTGGTGTTTCATTGATAGAAAACAATAATACTAGTGCGCTAACATAGATGCTTCTTGGACACAACAGACGAAACGAATTTTAACTTTTTATCATTAGCAGTCTGGTATGTAACCGGATTGCTTGGGATTTTCAGGACTGATATGAAGTGGGATTTAGTAATCACAATTCATAAATTGATAGTGAAGTTCATGTTTAGAAACGAGAACTTCAGTAATATTTGAGCTTCTTGTACGCCGCATTACTCCTTCTGTGAAACTTTTATGTGCTGGCTATTAGATCACGCATCACTCCTCTTTTTACCATCATTACACCAATTTCAAGTGTTGAATAAGAAGACTTCCCTCGTTAGAAGATCACTGTTGTCAGCTCTCATGTAGCAAATACGGATTATGATCCATCGATGAGACGGACTCAAGTACGCACTTCTCATTTTTTTTTATCGGTTTAGTACTATCATATCTATTGATCAAACGATATACTTAGGGCAGACTAAAAGTTCCAATATTTCAGATAAAAATTCACAGAAAAGAGTTAATCAAGTTTTTACTATATTCGAACTATTATAATAGTATCACCCTATTAATCTTGATTATTAGATTTTCAATAATAGTACGTAAATAATAACAGAAATTTTTCTTGATTATTAGATTAGTGATCTAGAAGACAACCAGTCGTGCATCGTCCGATTACAGACGAAATGTATCTAAATTTTTCTATAGATACTTTTCGTTTGAGTGATTTGACCGATTAAATTTTTTTTTGGTAAGATCGACCAAAGGAACATGACAATTACGCGGTATGGTAATAGAAGACTAGCTTTAGTTCGTCATAAGCAAGTGTACTGGAAGTTATAAAACACGAGAAGGACAGCAATTGTGATTCGATGCAGTAAGTTGCTTTAATAGTTGTTGTAAATTTTATGAATTTTCTATTTACAACTTCCGACGGCTGTTGGACATATGGAGTATCAACAATCAATCGTTTTTTATTCTCCGCTTTTGTGTAACCCCTCCGCATAGGACTGGAAGTTATAAACTCAGATTCCATGCATTTTTGCTAGATTTTACTCCCTCCCCGGCATGAACGTTTGAAATTAGGCGTGGTAAAATTTTAAAATTTTTCTTACCTTTCCATGTTGTAAATGTTGTAAGAGACATTTTTGGGCCGTATTATTTTTTACTGTCTCGTACCTATGATATTTTAATCTGAGAGCGGAGAAAATTTTCCTTCTGTGAGAGTTTTCTAAGCTGATGCGTTAAATATTTGCAGAGATCAAAAGACAAGATAAGAAAAGACGCTAAGGTAAGGTAGCTTAAGGTAATAGAAAGATAAGGAAGGATATGCTAAGATAAGATCAGATTAGATAGGATAAGATAGGGGTAGGTGACGTACTCCTCCGCTACCCGATACTTCAGCTATACTTCTACAAAACTATTTCAATTGTTAAAACCATCACTAATGTAACAGCACCGACAACAATCTCTCGGCAACATCAATGCCTATACCATTTACGATCGAAGAAGAAATTGGTCGTTATGTATCAACACAGATAATAGGACTTTCTGAACAAAATAGTTCTTTTTTGTTCTTTTTGTGCTTCTGTAGACTCTAAAAAGAGTCGAATTGAATTCTCTACAGAACCTGCTTTTTGAATCTCTGATAACATTTTTTTCGTTTGAGCACCACTCAAAATACTGAATAGTGCTAAATTCTCGAACTGCGACGTGCTTTTGTCATATGCTTTTTTGAGATTCTTAGCCCATTGTCTGAGGTTCAATAGTTACTTTTTC